TTGGATCGATGCATCGATACAAAACGATTATTATTTACACCCCTACTTTCTAGATAAGTGGGGATCTAACCTCCAGCTTCATCTAATAATGATAATTGAACTTTATTGATCTCATATTGGAGAAATGTATCTCTTTATTTAACCCATCCCCTTTGGGAGCAGTGTCCTGCCATTGTGCGACGCCCAGGGAGCAGTGTGGGGTTAAGGTTCCTTGCTCAGCGATCCAGAGTGGCAGTCTGTGGGAGTGGGGATCAAACTCAGAAACTATGGATTCCAAGCACAATGACCTAACCACTTTGATTTGTTTGGATAAAAAAATACAATGCTTGTCAATATGACAATGTCACAATTTTTTATCTGTTCAATTCTCAAATCTCCAATCGATATGATGTGATAATATGAGGTTAGAATTCTGCTAAAAAGGACACGTCTCATTATTACTGATACGGGCAGGTTTATGTACAACACACACATTAACTGCTCTCCAGGCATGTTTTGAACGTTTTATGTCTGCAGATTAAATCCAATATATCACAACTATGAGTTCATGCCCCTTCTCTGTTCTATTTAGCTTTTTATGCTCCTATAGATTCTCTCTTACCTGCAAGTGGACCTGTTTCTGTGCACTATTGTCAACTTTTATAACTTTGAGGGTGGAACCAACTGCAACTGCCGATGATTGGCTGCTTTTTAGCAAATCCCGTCTCTTGAGATAGTATGTTTTCTTCCTGTTGTGGTTATCAATGTCAGCAAAGCATCTTCAGGGTATTAGCTGTTTTCTTAAAGAGTTAAATATGGATTAAGCGAAGTCGTCATTAACAGTTACTTTGATAGAGCCATGAATGTGTTTTGACAGCAGAAGCAGAAAGCTCTAAAAGTGTTAAATTTGGAACTTTGAATGAGCTAAGCTGATGTTAGCTTCACTATTTTAATTGAGGAAAGTTACCAGCTTTTGCTGTGATAACAACTGTAAGTCACTTGGGTTATGTCTCTATCAGTTCTGCACATCAAGATGGACATTTTTGCTTTATAAATCTCTGTCCCAGTCTCAAGGACTCCAACAGGTTTGCTTTCAGAATGGTCCTGTATTTGGCCGCATCCATCTTCCCATCAATTTTCACCATCTTCCCTCTCCCTGCTGAAGAAAAGCAGGCCCAAACCATGATGCTGCCACTATCTTGTTTGACAGTGGCGATAGTGTTTTCAGGGTGATGAGCTTTGTTGCTTCTTCACCAAATATAACTTTTTGTATTGTTGCCAAAAAAGATTTTGGTTTCATCTGACCAGAGCACCTTCTTCCACATGTTTTCTTTGTCTCCCGGGTTGCTTGTGGCAAACTTTAAAAAAGGCTTTTTTTATGGATATCTTTAAAAAATGTCTTTCTTCTATAAATTATTATTGTCCTATGGGCAGAGTCTTCCTCCTCAGCTGTAGATCTCTGCAGTTCATCCAGAGGGATCATGGGCCTCTTGGCTGCATCTCTGATCAGTCTTCACATCTTTGAGCTGAAAATTTAGAGGGACGGCTTCGTAGCGTTTCAGTGTCTGATACTGCTTCCATTTCCATAGTACCACTTGCACAGATGTTTAAAGCTTTGGAAATATGTTTGTGTCCAAATCCAACTTTAAATTTCTCCACAAAAGTATATGGGACCTGGCTGGTATGGTCCTTGTTCTTTATGATGCTCTCTGCACGTTAAACAGACCTCTGAGACGATCACAGAGCAGGTGCATTTATACGAAGACTTGATTACATGCAGGTGGATTGTATTTATCATCATCATTAATTTAGGTCAACATTGGATCATTCATATCCTCATTGGACTCCTGGAGAAAGTTTAAGGCATTGAAAGTTAATGGGCCAATTTATTTTGACACCACGCTTTTCTTCATCCCCCAATTTTTTATTTCTGAAAAAAGTTTAACATATCCCCCAAATTTTGTTCCACTTGATTATTGTGCCCCACTTGTTTTTGATTCTTCACCTAAAAATTACAATTTAATATCTTTACGTCTGAAGCCTGAAATGTGACAAAATATTTAAAAGTTCAAGGGGGCCGAATGCTTCCGCAAAGCTCTATATTTTGGGGGGCTCGTGGTATTTAAGGTCCTATATTATGAAACATTCATATTGTAAACATTTTAAAACAGTCATATGTGTCCTGAAACCTTTGTATAAGTTTCACCACTGAAAAAAACTTTCCCCCCCTCTCAGTGCCTTTCAGCACCTCTTAGCAAACAGCTCTGTTTTAAAAATCATGCCCTTTATGATGTCATAAGGGGAAATAAGCGGGCGGTCTGTAGCAGCCCATGGGTTAAGCACCGGCCTTCATCTTAGGTATTATTCCATGTCCTAGGCTATTTACAGATGGTTGCAAGTTGGGAGGATGGGGGCGTGGAAACCCAAAACTGCTCGTCTAGAGGAATGAGAAAGGCTTTTGTTACAGGCTTTCTGCGTAATTTTAGAGGAATTTTCCTGCTCAAATGGCAAAAATATGCTCTGGGGGCCTCATTGTTAATATTTTTTTTATTTTCAAAATGTAGAGTAATATGGGATCTTTAAATCTGCATGCATAAAGTTATTAAAATGCTTTTGGAGGGTTATTTAAGTGCCTACTATTTGAAATAAAACTACTGCTATTAAAAATGTATTATGCAGGTTTACTTTTGGCATTATTCTGACTTTATATAATATTGTCTGCCCATCTAATAAATCATCTAATACAATAAATTTACACTTATATCAATGCACAAAAGAAAAAGAAAAAACAAATGTGATTTTTATAACCTCTAGAAGGCATTAAACAAAATTTAGTCTAAATCAGTTGATCTATGAATAAACTGAATTGTACAGACAATTTTGTCCAGATTTGGTTAAAATATTATACGGAAGATGGATGGATGGATGGATGGATGGATGGATGGATGGTTAATATCCTTGAGATCAAAGTAAGCAGCTGGTCTAAGCCTATTCACACAGTGCAAGCAGACTTCTTTAAGGCATGGACTTAACATCAAGCTCCCATATTGAACAAACACGCAGTGAAAACAGAGATTTTTAACAGGAAGGGAAGAAAGGGGTTTAAAGGAACTGAAACAAAAAAATGAAGGAAAACACAAAAACATTGGTCCTGAGGTACTTTCTACAGGAAAAGAAAACAAGGAGTAGATATAGAAACTTACTTTGGGCTTTCTTTTTGTCTAAATGGACCTCCCTGTTTTATATTTTCTACTGTGCATATTTTATTTTAGCCTTGATATGTGGCTGGAGCTCTGAATGTGTTTTAAAAGTACACCATTTAAACCAAACCACCCCTAAGGTGTCAAGGTTTGGTTGTGGTTTGTTGACCCAAATGCAGAGGCAGGGAGGCAGAGGTGATTTTCTTGTGGGTTTAATGAAAGGTTAACTGAACACAGAGGCAGGAAATCCAAAAATCCAAACATGAAAATTAAGTCCAAACAAACCGGAAACCAGGAATCCAAAATCCCAAAAATCAAAACATGAAAACTAAGTCAAGACAAACCAGAAACCATGGAGACATCAGGGGGGTTACTATCACGAGGAGGACGGCTCAGAGAGACGGAGTTGGAGGAAGTGAGACGAGGAACCAGCACTGAAGAACTGAACAGAGAGAGTATTTAAGGGAGACTGAAACAAAGAGAGGACTAATGAACAGATTGGGAGCAGGTGTGAAAGGAGCAGAAACAAGGAAAGGAGCAAGGGAAAAAGGAGAACACAAGAGGGCAGCAGAGGGCAACAAATAAAAACCTGAGAATAAAAATAACCAGAAAACACAACAAAATAAGAACGAAACCACTAAAACTAGAAAACATGGAGGCAAAGCAAAACTGAATACTCAAAAGAAAAAACATAACAAAACCAGAACTCTGACATAAGGTAATATAACAATGTTTCATTCAATAAGCATGCAAGCACAAAGAAATATGCCAGCCTTTGTTGACATTTTTAATTAAAACAACCACCGCTATCAGTGTCTCCTTGAATATGAACAACTCCCAATGAAAATACTAAAAAATCAGCTTAGGATGATAATAAAGTTTTGCCTTTGATATCTGCAATATTAATAAAAGCTATTAATAAAATAGACATAAAGCTGAACACAGAGGCTTTGAGTAAGGGGTACTTTCAATGTAAAAAGGAAAACAACAGAACCACATAGAGAAAATGTCTGCAGCAGCTTCTTTCATGGTAAAAAAAAAAAAAAACTCAATACTGGAAGCAAGACAATAGAGGAATCCACTCCAAGACACACCACAGTGTAATAGCACCTAGTTTCTCCAGACATCTCTCTTCCCCTTTCACCTCCGTCAGTCTTTATTTTCATCAATTTCTCTGAAGGGGTCAAAGTTTTAATAGATAGAGATTAGATAGAGACTCATCCCAACTCCAGCTGAAATATCCCTCTTCCTCTCTTTTCCTTCCTCATCCTTTTTGTTTCCATATGTGCATTTATAAAGATAAACCAGTTTCAGGAACAGTTGGGTTGGAATACTTTCTATTTGAAGGAATAGCAAAACATATGGAGGGTTAATGTCACCAGTAGCATTTTTAATAGCTTGGCGAGGGAAAGATAGAGACTTGGTGAAACGTAAACCACAGCTAGATAAAACAAATGTACAAAAACAAAGCATTTCCAGAACCTGTAAATGTCAAACTTCTACACGCTCTTCCTCTTTGACCTCTGTCAATACTGATTTTTATCAATTGCTTTGAAAACCAAAGCTTTGCTATCTTGAGAGAGAGCCAACACCACCCCACACCTTCTTCATCGTTGTATTTTTGAGGTTTTTACTCTGAATAAATAAAACAATGCTGGGTCGGGTACTTTTGATGGCAAGTAACAGTGCATGAAAAATGTATGGGATTGTAGTCAAGTCAAGTCAGCTTTTATTGTCACTTTCTTCATATGTACAAGACATACAAGGGAAATGAAATTACGTTTACTCTCTCGAATATACAAATATACAAGAAATATACAAGACTGACATTTAAAAACTGACATAAATTGCGGGACATTACAGGTAACAGTGATAAGATAAATATAAATATGAGGTATAGACATTACAATAAAAGCAATAAAACAGCAGCAATAGTTTATTCCAGGCTGAGGTAGTGCAGGTAAGGTGCAGTCTCTGGTACAGTGTATGTGTGTGTGTGTGAGAGGTGTGTGTGTGTATTAGTCTCTGTATAGAAACACTGGACCAGGCGTACCTTTTATAGGAAAGGTAAACAAAGTGACTGCATGGTAACCTGGTTGAAAAGGGCTCTATGCAGAAACATTTGGTCTGCAGTACTTTCAATCTGAAAGAACAACAAATAGCATGGAGGGAAGGACTGGTTGTAAGAAGTCCTTTAACACTCAGTTGAGGAAACACTCAGTAGAGGCAAAGTTGTACTTTCAATGGCAAAGAAAAGACAAGAGCACACAGAGGTAACTGATTGTAAAAGTTCATTTTGAGAAACACTGGAGTAGGAATACTGTCTATTCAAAAGAAAAACAAGTAGCATGGACCGGGGGATTGGTTGTAACTAGTGTTGCGCCGATGCCATTTTTTGGCCCCGATATCGATACCCGATACCTGGCTGTGCAGTATCGGCCAATACCATAATAATGTAAAATAATTGCCATCATGGCTTTGTCAAGCTGCTGCCTACCTTTGTGAAGCAGGAAAAAATCTAATAAAAAGTGAATCCAGTAGAACTTTTTATTGCCTACCAGGAGTGAGTGACAATAGTTGAAGAAACGTATGGCTCTCAAAATGGTATCGGTGCCCTATTTGTCGGTACTCGCCGATACCGATACCATCATTTTAGGGCAGTATCAGGGCCCAGTCCGATACTGGTATCGGTATCGGTGCAACACTAGTTGTAACACTTGAAGAGTAGTACCTTAGGCTACGTTCACACTGCAGGCCTTGATGCTCAATACTGATTTTTTGTGAAATCGTTGCTGTCCATATTTCCAAATATATGCGACGTGTATGTGATTTCCTGTGTTAACTGCAGTCATACAAAGCAAGTGTCCAGCATGCGCAGTATAGGCAGAAACGACGTCACAAGCCAGTGTGCTCTTTTTTCCCGGACATAAACATGGATGGTAGTGTCGGAGCGCATCAAGCGGTCTTTTCCAACCATAAAAACGAATTCTTTTTAATATGTTTAAACATAAATACTGCTCTCCGCATCATCATCTGCCATGGTTGTTGTTTTTCTTGCTGCTTCTGCGTAGCAAATCGCAGAATAGCGACCTTTGTCGGGTATTAATAACGTTAAGGCTGGACGAATCCGACCTGGCCGTTCAGACACAGGTTGCATTTGAAAAGATCAGATTCGTATTGGATTCAGGAGCACATAGCCAAGTGGCCTGGGTCGGATTGGAAAAAATCGGATCTGTGTTGTTCAGACTGTCATGAAAAAATCAGATTCAAGTCGCATATGGGCCAAAAAATCGGATTTGGGTCACTTCAAGCTGCAGTGTGAACGTAGCCTTATTTGTGAAAGAAAGGCAAAGACAAGACTGAGGTAACTTCTTTTAAAAGGTTATTTTAAGAAACTTTGGACTAGGAGTACTTTCTTTGAGACAAAAAGCACAGCCAGAAACACTCCTGTCCTGTCTGATCCTCACACAGATCCTAAGACAGAAAAACTGTGAGAACTTTCCTTTTTTCCTGTTCTAACCACAGAAGTTGTTTAAAGACTAATTTTCAAGATTTGCTCTCTGCTCATCTTTTGTTTCATCCTCCAGTTTTTCCCATATGGTGACGCCTCCAAATTCGCCCAGCACGCCTTCCGCACGTTTGACAAGAATGGTGACGGGACCATCGACTTCAGGGAGTTCATCTGCGCTCTGTCCATCACCTCCAGGGGGAGCTTTGAGCAGAAACTCAACTGGGCCTTCAACATGTATGATCTGGATGGAGATGGAAAGATCACACGCATGGAGATGCTGGAGATCATCGAGGTGTGTGGTTGCGGTCCACGTGAAAGGAAAAAAGTCTGAATATGTGCTTTAGGGTTGCTATTAAAATGTCTCTCCATTTTGCTGTGCTGCAGGCCATCTACAAGATGGTCGGCACGGTGATCATGATGCGCATGAACGAGGACGGGCTGACCCCTCAGCAGCGCGTGGACAAGATCTTCTCCAAGATGGACAAGGACCACAACGACGAGATAACCTTGGAGGAGTTTAAAGAGGCGGCCAAGTCCGACCCTTCCATCGTCTTACTGCTGCAGTGTGATATGCAGAAGTAGAAGGGGGAGGGAGGGGCAGGAAAAACAGGGAGGGGTGGGGGTAAGAGGTGAACTGAAGCTAGGGAAGGGAGGAGGCTGAGAAAAGAAGGGAGGGAGCGGTTCTACGGGAGGAGGAGGCATCGCTAACGGGAACCGTCCAGATCTCAGATAGCTGACATTCCGTTTTATCCTACCTTGCTTTAGATAGGAGGAGGACAAATTCAGTCAGATGGGCTGTGAAAAGCGGGATTCCCTCCTGCATTCGTTGCAGAGCAGTATGGTGTTACTCGTGCTTTCACGCCGCGTCGGATGTGAGATCACGAGGCTGCGGGATGAAAGCAGTGTGAAGCTCAGCCGTCTAACTGAGAAAACTATTTCATATTCATTGACTAGACGTTTCATTTGTTCCATGTCTTCAGTAAATTTGATGCAAAAGGAAAGATAAAAGGAATTTAAAACAACTATAGCTCAAGTTTTTAATCCAGAGTTTAAGGCAATACACATGCATTGAAGGGAGAGCGTTTTTGTTGTTGTTGCAGATTATGCCTCAGTGTCCACCAGCTAAACAAGCAGGCAGCTGATGGAAAGTGTCACTGCAGCAGCATGGCGAGGCATACTGATGTGCTCAGTCACTTCTAGCTGCTTTGAAACCAAAATAATCCATATTTTGTCAGTGATTTGTATTCTAGTTAATGCCATCTACTTGTTACGCAACCAAAGCTTTTGATCAGCAGGTTGTATTCAATGAAATGTACATTGAATAACAGGAACCAGAGCCTTTCATCAGCAAACTGCTTGTTTGAGCAGTAAAAGGAGGCACTTGACCATCCTAGAGCGGTGATAATCACGGCGGTAATTGTAGATCTTATGACAGAATGGTATTTCTGAGAAAGGCCAAACCCGCCTCCGCGATTCGCCGTTGTTTCACATTAAATAGTCGTCTCTTCTCTTCCTGTCCTGCTGCTGGCCCCGTTTTTTTTTTAGTTTCCTTCCTCTCTAAATGTCAGAGAGGAAGCACTTTGATAATAGGTAAAGAGAAAGGAACCTTGTTCAGATCTGCAATCGATGAGAAAGGGAGCAAAAGGTTGCAGAGGTGGGTCAGGCTGTGTGTGTCAGCCGAACGGTTGAAGGGATCAGGACGGTGTAGCTGCATGCTAACATTTAATATTTAGCGGTGCGTAAAAACGGCCCTTAGGGATGTCCCAGTCAGCTTCATGTTTGATACTTAATAAGTCATCTAAGGTGAGATAAATCAGCTTTTACAAACAATCTTTGCTAATGAAAAAAAACTAAAATGTGATTCACTTTGCAACAACACAAAAAGACGCCACTTGATTGTCTTTTGATATGACTTGTTGATCATTCGACCTACAGCAGATTTTAATGATTGTGTGACTAATAGAAAAAGTTCTTCTTAAGCTCCATAACTGTCAAGCTATCCTGGTAGGTCTTCCTAACATGACTCAGCAGTCATCAAAGCTCTTCCTCTCTGAATGTCAATGAAAACATTTCAACTCTTTTGATGAACAAAATAATAGTTTAGTAAACCGTTGCTACTGGGAAACATTCAAACCAATCTTTTCCTGCTCTTTTACATGGACTTTTTGTAATATTTACTGATAAATCAAATTCATAGTAAGGAAGCACTTTATATTGATATTAAAACTTAATATTTGTTGATTACAACTATTAAATGCCAAAAGCTATTGATGAAAATGTTCCGATTTACCATGTTCTCTGTCAGAGTTATTATAACACAATGATCTGAGTAGTTGCTGTTTTATCTCCTTTACTTTATGAGAAAAAGAGTCCCGCTTTGTATTGTTTGTATTTTAAGAAGGTGGGAAATTGAAAAGTTTTTATTTAAGCTTCTTCCTATAAAAGGCGATGATCTCCTCCTCTACTGCGGAAGCTCCCTCCCTGATTGTTCAGAAACAGACTCCTTTTTACAGCAGGTGTAATAAAGCTTACATGTACATTACTACAATACGAGTGTAATCGTATTAATGAATATAAAACAAATATACGATGTAAATGTACCGATAGCGTAGATCTGTTTTCATTTGACAACACTGCTACTGAGAGAGAAAGAGTGTGCATCTGTGTGCGTCTGACTAATGTTGACATCAAAGCTGTGTGTGTGTGTGTGTATGTGTGTGTGTATTTGAGGGGTTACTGTTTGATTGTTCAGTGTTTTGTATTTGTATCATTTGCATAACAAAAGACGCCTGGGTCTTGTTTCACTTTGTAACAATGTGAATGTGACCTCCTCCACTCTGAAGCACTGAGTATTATTACTACCCTGGCATATGTTTTTGCTTTTGTGGTCTGCTGGTATTATAATGTAAAACACACACATCCACATGGAACAGCCTACTGTCGCAATGCTACAAATTACAAATCTATATGATGGTTAGTTTGCACCTTACAGCAGAGCTCACTGCTCAGGAAATGGAAGTGATAAAGAGGCAGCGCTGTGTCACAGTGCCACCTGGTGGTTGGAAGTATGGTTTAATGTCTAGAAAGTGTTCATTTGCTGCTTATACAAACCATGTTGACACACCACCAACAGGCCTGTAGATCAAACTAGACAACTTAATTTATTTAGCCGTATTATCTCAACACCTCACAAATGAAAAGCAGCCTTTTTATTAGACTTCCAATCCGTTGATGTTGGTTAATTAAAGCCCCATTTGGCAAAATGGAGTTTATTTAAAAACAAAAAAAATGACCGAACCTTTGTAATATTCATGTGAAAAGAGATTTTTTTTTTAGCTTTAACTTTTTAATCAAATTGGGGGAGAAAAAAAAATCAAACAGAATAATCTGCCAACTATCAACTTTACTGTCATGTTAACATCAAGTAATGTTTAGAACTTAATAAAACTGAGAGCTTAATGTGTCCATAAGCTGAGTTTTAACTCGACCTAATTGACCTTCTTGTTGAGCCACATGTTTAGTTGAGTCATCTTTGCTTTTGTGCAATCCAAATCATAATGTTTCTCTATATCTATTTTCTTTGGATTATTCTAGGAGAATTCATAGATTAGTACAGTTGAATCAGTTCCTTAGCCTTTAATCCAAGCCTTATTCTACATGTTTGGTGTTTTTCCTGTGGCGGGATTGCAGCTCCACATGTAACACTGACATTAACATTTTAGGTAATTACTAAACATGGATAAGGATATTCCTATAAATGATGCTACATTTATGAGGAACGTCTTAACGAGCAACGAATCCAGAGATAAATTTTTTGCAAAAATCAGACGTCCTGACCAATTATGCCTTCTCTGATTATACTTACCTTGGTAATTAAGTTTATAAATCTTGGAGCTATAGAGCTCTTTAAAAATCCGGTTTAAAATCATATTTAGTTTTAATTTCATAAGGTTTCTATGTTAGTTTAAATCCCCGCTCACATCAGCTGATGCCTAAGGCAGTGAGATAATCAGACCAAAATGGATTCAACTCTTCAAATTTTTACCTCCTGCTGTCGCAGTGTATACAGTTCCGCATTTAGAAATAAAATTGTCGTGTATTTAGTGGAAAAGCAACACACTTTGTCCCTTATTACTGTGACAGCAAAAAAAAGTCATTAAAAAGCTTATGGGGAATGAACAAGGGCACGTTAGATACAAAACTTACGGTAAAATTTTTTGCGGGCCCTGTCCTGTGTTATGACCAATGAGCTGACAACATAAAGGTAACAATCCAGAATACCCTGATCCCATTGGTCGAGCCAAGTGTTGCTCACGGATAGATAGCAGGAGACAACAGAGCAGTATGGGGAATGAACAGTCATGTTCATTTTGATGCTGATTTGGGGGCGGGGCACCTTTGCATAGCGAAGCTCCTCCTCCAAAAAAAAAAAAGATGCAGAAATATAGGGAGGAATGGGAAAAAACAAATACCTAAGTGGAAAAAGTCAGCGATAATGAAAATATGAAGCTAATTCAATGCAGATTTAAGTAAAATTGTTAAAGAAATCATTTCACACACAAAGGGGGGCTAAAAAGAATCATCACGCCAGGAGGGTGATTTCTTTCTTAAAAACATCAAAAAGGTTTTGTGCAAACACACATTAATGAATCTGTAAAACATCATTATTGTTTTAGAACATTACTAACAAGAAAAAGGGATTTCTTTTGTAAGAGCAGTGGAGGTTGGAGGCGGCGCATCGATAAGATTCTTTCTGTTTGAAACAAAAAATCTGGAAAACAAGTTCCGCTTTCCCGTTGAGAGAAACAAACACTAAACATCAGCTACGCCTGCTGGAATATTTAGCAATTAATGTTACTTTATTTTTAGATAAGAAGGTTATATCGAAAATACTAACAAGTGCTTCACACAGCCAGATGATTCCTGTTGAACAATGATTCCTATTGTTTAAATAATCAAACGATAAAAACTTAAACACTATTTAAAGGTTCTTAAAGTACAATTAATAGTAGAAATAATCTTTGGGCTTGAGCCTTTTTGAATTAGCCGTTAGCTTCAGCCACCAGAACCAACTACCAACAGGAGGCATCAAATTAGTGCTGCTTTAATCATTGCTGCCGGTTGTTCCCTTCATTGAATAGTTCTGCTAAAAAACATCTTTTTTATCATTAGTTTGGGTAAATGATTTTAATAAATTGATCTGGTGGAAAGTTTTCTGTCTTATTTGGGTCTACACAAAAAAAAAACAAAAAATACACGCCTATATGGAGTGAGATGTTTCATTATTATTCTAACCAGATAACATGCTTTGTAAATAGAAATGTGAAAAAATGCAGTTTAGAAACAAAACTTTGAAAAAATTCTTAAAAGGTTTTTTGGGAAATTTTGCAGTTTTCTTAGATTAGATTTTTTTCTCATTTTGATTTCTTAAAATTTCTCATAAATATTTTTTTCAAATGTAACCACTTAAAACTCTTTTTTCTCTTTAAAGTTTTATTCTAATATATATATCTATATATATTTACATTGCATTTTCAAATTGTTTTTTACAGATCAAGCTTGCTCTTTATGCACACAAAGGGCG